TGGTGTAGCAGCTGTTCAAACTCAAGGAGCTACATTGACGGTAAGACCTTGTAAGCTCTATCAACCAACGGAGTAAAGCACCAGGACAGTCTGGTGTTGCAGCTGTTCAAACTCAAGGAGCTATATTGACGGTAAGACCTTGTAAGCTCTATCAACCAACAGAGTAAAGCACTAAGACAGTCTGGTGTTGCAGCTGTTCAAACTCAAGGAGCTACATTGACGGTAAGATCTTGTAAGCTCTAACTACCAACAGAGTAAAGCACCAGGACAGTCTGGTGTTGCAGCTGTTTAAACTCAAGGAAGACTACACAGATTGTAAACGTACCTGCAGTCGTTGTTGCCTCAAAGCATTCTGCCTGTAAACATGTAGTTGATTTCCTGTCAGTGTCCTTGCTGATGTTAGTTGATTACTTCCAACTGTCACTAGTTATTATATATAAAAAAAAAGAGAGCATGGTAACTTATCTACATAGCCTTAATACTTTGAAGATCAATTTCTCAATGTTTCAACATATCGCTAACCCTAGTTTATCAATAATTTCCCCACTAAAAGAAGACCATGTACGGCCTCTATTTTTTTATGGTACCCAAGTTATCTGTACAATTACCTCTACTATTAAACTGAATACAAACATTCAATCAACTTTATCTACGAAACAAACAAGCCGAGCAAAGTTCAAAGTCTGTATTACTAACGTCAAACTTTAGATTATAGAACAGTAAGGCTTGTCTCACCTGCAGCATTAAGTCTAGTAGCAGCATGAATCTGGGCTGCAGTTAAGCCAGCCACTGAAACAATGGACGGTGTGGCCACAGTGTTAACACCTGTGGTGGCTATGGTTCGGGCTTGACCGGTAAGGCCCGCAGCTGCTACGACAGCTTCTGGCAGGGTCATGGTTGTAGTAGTAATACCAGCAGTAGAAGCTCTTTGAGTGCGAAGTGTTGCTTGAGTTAAGCCAGTTACATTAGCAGCCTGCGATTCAAAGAAAGATTAATTATATTTTAATAACAATGTAAGTTATTTGAGACCACATTAAATTTTAAGTACACTGGTAAAGTTAATATATCTGTACGTCCATACTAAAGATGGCAGGACTGGATAAAATAATTATCTTGAGACTGAACTGCCATACTTTTCTGTGGTCACCAGTATGGCTCTAAATGCTTATCATTAACAGGGTCTTCCTGTGGTCAGGGGTCAAATGGCATGTCACCATGTTTGTAGACTTACATAAAAATTTTATCGATCTACTATTCATGAATTTATACCGATAAGTTTGGTATCACATTGTACATTATATTTCAAATTTCAGTTTTATAAGTTAGTTGATTTCTTAATTTAAAAGTAAATATTAAAAAGAAGTTCCTAAATATTGATTTTTGTGTGTCACGTGGAATGCTGAATGCAGTACTGGTTCAAATTAGATGTTAGTGATGTCCAAATAAAAATTCTATAGTTACGAATTAGAAACTCAAATTACCAATATTGACATGCTAGAACCTAAAATAAGAACCTCCTATCTATTCGATTTGCTGAGATATCACGACATTTAGTGAATCAAACACAGTGGCCCTGCCCACCTCTTTCCATTTTTGGAAATGCTTACGTACACCTATTTCTATCTATGACAGGTGAATAACCAATAGAAAGCTAATAATTTCCCCCTGGTGGTTTTCTCAGTCTCTAGATGGTGGGAAGATCCCAAGATTATTTCTTTGTCTTGAATCCCTAAAGGAAGTGGTAAGTGAATATGTTGTCCAAAAAACAACATTGTTTTAAACTCAGATACAATTTAGTTAGTAAGCCTGATAAATCACAGTGGCTTTCTACAATACTGATAGAGCAACTTATCCTATTTGGTTATTTCGAGATGCATATACAAAACCTAAAAAATTATTTTGTTTTACATTATAATCAACATTCAAAAAGAAAACATACACGAGGAAATCATTACTTAAAAAATCGTAAAACTCAATAAAAAAAATCTGATATTTTGTGTACAAAAGCCGTGTAATGTTTACTGATAATCTGCTAAATATCGTGAACATACACTTCCTGTATTAAAAGTTAAGAGTTTCAACACCATACAAGCACAAAATGATTATGAAGTTGGTCCCTGGAACCAAGCCTGTGGCGAAAGTTAATACGCCTACCCTAACACTGCTTGTGTTCTTTCTGTACTAATGTTAATTTTAGGTGCTTTAAGTTGAAGCCCATTGTGAGCAGTTTTATATAAATTACTGCATAAAACATTGGAGAAAGTTTCCATGTAAACGACGAGGGTTCCTCATCACTACAGTAATGTTAAGGAAGTCCTACCAGTTGTTGCAACTGTTACTTTGAATTCACAAAGTGATGTAATTGCTGTTAGAAATGCTTGAAGATTGAAGGAAACATTCAATACTATAAAAAATTGATTTCGTGGATGGCGTGAAATGTTGTTTAATGAAGGAGAACAATAGAAAGTTGTATTTACTTGTTGTCACTTGAGGCGACTTAGGAAATATTTGTATGTTTAAAAATAAATTACTTAATACAGACTTCATATGAATAAATAAATGAAAGGAATTTCGTTGTGGTTCTTCTTAAGGTTGCCTTTTATACATGAGTGTGTGGTATGTATTTATATATCGTATACACTGTAGAGAATGTAAAATATATAAAGTATAAAGACACAAAAGTTTTAAACCTTTACTAGCCAATAAATGAAATATATCTATACAGCACAGTGAGATGTCTCTATGATGTGTAACAAGCCACATCTATCATCCCAGTGAGGTGTATGTTATACTTCAAAGTATCTGTGGTGTATACCAAAGCATCTTTGTGGCATTCAGTGATATGTCTCTTTTGGTGTACGGAAAGGCACCTTGGTGGTGCTCAGTGAGATGTTTCTTTGGTGTACGGCAAGGCACCTCGGCAGTGCTCAGTGAAATGTTTCTTTGGTGTACGGCAAGGCACCTCGGCAGTGCTCAGTGAAATGTTTCTTTGGTGTACGGCAAGGCACCTCGGCAGTGCTCAGTGAGATTTTTCTTTTTGGTGTACGGCAAGGCACTTCGGCAGTGCTCAGTGAGATGTTTCTTTTTGGTGTACGGCAAGGCACCTCGGCGGTGCTCAGTGAGATGTTTCTTTGGTGTACGCTAAGGGACGTCGGCGGTGCTCATTGAGATGACTCCTTGTTGTACGCCAAGGGACCTCGCCGGTGCTCCTTGAGATGACTCCTTGTTGTATGCCAAGGGACCTCGCCGGTGCTCATTGAGATGACTCCTTGTTGTATGCCAAGGGACCTCGCCGGTG